TTAAGATAGAATGTATCTAATATCTTAATTTTGAACATAAATCAACATAGAAAGAAAATATAAGATATTAAGAAAAATTATAAGAAAAAAAAAATGAGAAAAATCATTAGATCCGATCCAACAACAATAATTCAAAAAATAAAAATAATCTATTTCTCACAATTAAAAATAAATATATTTGTAGCTAGGAATAATTATATGATTAATGATTCTCTGTTAAGAAAATACAAAAAAATGAAGCTACGACTAATAAACTATTAAAATTTAACAATAAGATTATATGTTAAACAATAAACATCAAGCGAAAATCTAATTATGATGCCAGCGAGATGATCGCTGAAAAATGTTAGAAATTTATTTCTCTCTCCTAGCTCTCCAACCTCTTATAACAATTTTTGGGAGAACATTTTCATTTTAATAAATTTTGATCATAATTCAAAAAATCATATTGTACGATATTAATTATAGATTATTTATTCAACATTTGAGTGCCACTCAATTTGATTTAAATTTGAAACTTTTTTCAGCATAAGATTTATCAATAGATTCATCTTATCAAAAAATTAAGCCTAATTAAATTTTTTTTTAAATTACAGTTCTGATGATTACGAATTTAATGCTGAAAGTTACGAGAAAATTTCGAGATAAAGGCATTAAAATCGCAGCGCTACAATATTCAGAAATCTAAACAACAGAAAAGAGGATCAGAATTTAATGGGAACTGTTCTAAAGCATTTATAAATAAGCGTACAATCATTAAAATTAAGAAGAAGATCACAATCTTTCCACATTACATACACAGATCAACAAAAGGGCATACTTAAAACACAAAAACGTAGAAAGGATAAACACGAGCAGGGTTCCAAAACCAACAAAAACAACTTCGCATTGGAAAGGGGTTCACCAATTTCATCAGCCGGAAATCTCAATGGATTTCACCTCCGGCTTCTTAACTTCCTCCTTAGGGACTGTGACGGTGAGCACGCCGTTCTCCATGGCGGCCTTCACGCCGTCGGCCTTCGTATTTTCCGGGAGATTGAAGCGGCGTAAGAAACTGCCGCTACTGCGTTCGGAAAGACGCCAAGTATCGGTCTTCTCCGCCTTCTCTCGCTTCCTCTCGCCGCTGATTTTAAGCACACTTCCTTCCTCTAACTCCACCTTCACCTCCTCCTTCTTCAACCCCGGTAGGTCGACCTTGAACACGTGCTCCTCTGCGGTCTCCTTCCAGTCAAAACGTGCGCCGGCGAAGGTTGAGATCTCGCTGTGGAGACCATATCGGGGTAAGGAGAGGCTGGAGCACATGGGATAGGGGGGAGGGTCGATGGTCCAGGATAAGGCGTCGGACATTTGAACGATCGTATATTCTTCCTTTGTATCGCTCAAAAGGAGAAAAGAAAATTCGAATTTATAGGGAACCGACGACGTATTCGAAGTTTCTAGAGAGAGCCTAATATATCTAGACAGTTCGAGTAACTTCCGGGAGAGAACATTCTTGGCAG